CTCAGTTCACCTTTTTAGTTTTAAATTGATACAATTTCTAAAAAATAAGTTTGGATCGGATTAAATAAAAAAGATTTCCTATTTTTCGGACGGAGCTGCTTCTCAGTACAAAAATAAGTATAATTTTGTGAATTTAATAAATCATAAAAAAGATTTCAACGTGGACGCGGAATGGAATTTTTTTGCTACTTCTCATTGGAAAGGAGCATGTGATGGTTTGGCAGGAAGTTTTAAGAGGCAAGCTTTTCGTGCAAGTCTTCAACGGGAAAGCGATAAGCACATTACCAATGCAACTTCATTATTTGAATGGGGTAAGAATGCATTTAACAAAACTACCTTTGGTTTTTGCTCTCAAGAAGATCATAACTCCCATGAGAAGATGTTTAAATTACGTTATGGCCGATGTGTAACCATAAAAAATACACGTCAATATCATCATTACAGAGCTCTTAATAATACATCACTCGAGTGCAAAGTTTACGCCAAAAACATTAAAATCGTTACCAATAAAGTTAAAAAAAAGAAATAAAGCAATACGTATAAGTTATAAGAATTAATTAAACAATTATTTAACTTCTTTGTTTTTTTATTTATGAAAAAATATTTAATTTATTATATTTCATTTGTTGAAATAAAAGTAATCATAAAATAACGATATTTTTAATTAAAACATAAGTAACTCTAAAGATAGTCAATGACTAAGATACTCAAAAATATTCAATTTAAAGAAATAATATTTTTATTATTATTTAATTCGAATATCATTTTATTTAAAACAAGAATTGTAATGTTAATTGGATGTTTTATAATGAATAGAAAAAAATATGGGGTAGAAAAATTATGGATTTTTACTACTTAAAGAATAGGAAATTCCAGTTAAAAATTTGTCCTTGAAATATTAATAGCGGGTATACAATACATTCTGGGGGATTAGGAAATTGCCGTCTTAAGTATTTCTTTGAAACAATTAAGCGGGTAAGTATTATCCATATTGTTCTACCACATTCATGCTAATTCACTGCAAGCAAAATGTGAGACCATCATCCCAACATACAAATGAAATATGTAACACACTCTAAGTGTCGCGTTGCCGAACCGCACAAACATAAACCGCTATACCGACAGCCCTGACCGCCCGTCGTAAAAATTTTTTTTGCTTAATCTAATCGCGATCAATCAAATTTTTTTGCGGGTTTCGTTACTTTAATGTTTATTGCAAAACATTAACAAAAATTTTTTAATTTTGTGAGGGAGAAGTCATTAAAAGTCAAGAGCTGCCATTGGTGGAATCATGCTGAGTTGGTGGAATCATCGGTCCATATTTCTTCAAAAATGATGCCAGTGAGAACGTATCCGTCAATGGTGACCGTTATTGCGCCACGATAACCGACTATTTGATCCCTCAAATTGAAGCTCATGATCTTGGCGACATTTGGTTTCAACAAGACGGCACCACTTTCCACACGTCGCATCAATCAATGGACTTAATGAGAGAAAACTTCGGTGAGCAGATAAGTTCACGTCTTTAGTCTATGCGGACAATCCCGCTTCGATTCAGACCTTGGAGCAAAACATCACGCGTGTAATTCGCCAGTTACCAGTCGAAATGTTCGAGCGAGTCATCGAAAATTGGACTCAACGGATGAACCATATGAGACGTAGCCGCGGCCAACAGTTGAAAGAGATAATCTTCAAAAAATAAATGCCAAACAATGTTCTTTCGAATTATAATAACCATTCCCCATTAAATTTGAATTTTCTGTGTTTTTTTCTTTAAAAAAGTAGAGAACCTCAAAATGGATCACCCTTTATATGGAATATGTCTCTTTTTAGCCTCTTTGGTTGAATTTATATCACATATATATTATATATATCATTTAAGTTAACGAGGTATGTTAATTTTAATACCAATATTTCGGATATGAAGCAAAATATAGTAATGAGACTAAGTAAGTGTACGACCTATAATATAAGTAGATAAGATACCAAACATGATTGTAATCCCTTCACCCTTTCGTCGAATACTTAATGTTGAAATCTCTCGCAACATTTTTTAAAGTAAAGTTTTGCAAACACCTAGTCGTTTTTCGGCGGCTTTGATCCTTCTAAGTTGCGAGTGTGTAAGATGTTAAATAGTGAATTTTTTGCGAATAGTGACAGTTTAAAATGGACCACGAGAAAAATTTCGATTGCATGGCTCTTTTTTCTCATATATGTACGAAAACATTATACTTTATTTAAAAATAAGCTAACATACATATGTAAGTGAGAAAATAAAAACAAATACTGTAACTAAGAAATTTCTTAGAAAAATATGACATTTACTCGTACTCAAAGAATGATAGAATACAAGATGACGACAATGGGTGAAAAAATTGTAGTGAAATAAATAGAAGAATTTTGCCACATATCTATTGACAACATAATTGCCAATTAACTAAGTGGCTATAAGGAATTGTGATTGCGAAGGTTGTATTTGTTTAAATTTATAAGCATAAAATATATTGATTTTGAAAAATGAAGTGTGCTGTGACGAGTTGCAATAACTATTAAGCAAAAAAACCATTAAAAACGGAAAAGTTTTTCTTGGGATATAAATGTTCTCAAAAATTGGGTAATTTTTTATAGGCGAAATGAAGTTCATAATCATAATAATTATAGTTTCAGAATTTTACACTACAATTTCACTTATGTACATCAAAACTGTTATTAATATAATATATGTATATAATTGCATAAACTTCTGCTGGATAGATCGCAATCATAATCATTCACTTCATTGGCAATTATGTTATCAATAGATAAAAGTAGTTATACAAATTGATCAAAGTATTTTTACACAACATTATTCTATTTATTTCACAACATTTTTCACTATTAACTAATAAATTAGGTCTATTTCCGAATTAACAAATGTGTTTACGTTTTAGTTTACAAATTAGATGCTGTTCTATACTTCTTCTTCTCAACTCTCAAGAATTACGACACAACTTGGCGGCTGGCGTAATCTTGTATTCTATCATTCTTGCTCGTACTCTTTTTCTCACTTCGAAGACAGATGTACATTGCTTTGTTCTGTATGCCGTATAAAGAAACAATAGCCGTATAAAGAAACAACTTCTCATTTGTAAGTTCGTTGCTAAATAATAAAAAGGCTTGTGTGGTTTTATGAAACCACGGTAAAAGTGAAACTTTTTTTCACATTATAGACGTTTAACTAAAAATCGTTTCATCAATCATAATTTTATACGTGGAAAATGGGAATGATAATCGGAAATGATAAAAGTAGACTAGGTCTCAAACTAATATTTTTATTGAACTCTGTGTCTTATAGTACGACATACATAATACTTTACAATTATATAGATGATATACACATATTAAATTTTCACTTTAAAAACAGAAAACAATTTTTATAATCGTTGAGTCATTTTGATCCGTTTTTAAATTTTTGCAATCATTCTATTATCAATTCCATCTTCATCATTAGTTTTACAGTTTATAAATGAGAAAAATAATGCTAATACCTATGATAAGAAATGTACGCTTACAGATTCGTTTATTTACAATGCGCAAACGACTCTGCATATAATTTATAGATATTCTATTTGTATATATTTGGTATCACAGGACATAAGTATAAAGCACATACATATATGTACATATAATATATTTATTTGAACATCTGAGAAGACCAAGCGGTCGCACATATGCTCATATATATATAAATATATGTATATAATTATGTGTGCATATAAACATATATGGAAGAATGCATACTGTTTGTATTATATATCTGTCTACATACAACATATGTATGTATGTAAATATGTACACTAATTGCTTTATGCGAAATCTCTCCTTTTTTGCTTTCATGTCAAAGAATCAATGTGTCGAAGGACTGACGCGACTACAAAGCGTCACAACATTGTGTTGTTGGTAGAAAATCCGAGCTGTGTCGAAAACAACAAACGAACGTGCGCCGATTGTCACCGCTTCCCTTGCCGCTCTAACAGCTTTGCCAATAAACCATCGTAAATATGTATGTTTATGTATGAGCATGCATATATGTATATCGACGCAGATTTTTTCGAGCCATGTAAAAATATTTTAGAATTGTAAAATATTTTAAATCGACAAGAGCTATGTTGCCATTTTTGTCACTTTTTTCTGTGTTTGCCGGGTTTACACTTTTCCCTTCCAGAAGGAACATAAGATTTTTAGCTTTTGCAATCGTCGCGAAAAAACGCTTGTGGGCAAACGCATGCTCGGGAAGATGTGTATGGCGTTTACTTTTATGAATGAGTCAACTTCGCTTGTTATGAGTACGCCTGCGTTCATGAATGAAAATGTTGTTGTTGTGTGATTTACTATAAATTTGGGCTGCAGCAATTTGGCTGCCTTATTGACATGTGTGTGTGCTGCTTATGCTACTTGAGACGATTGTTGTTTTTGTAGAACAATGTTTGTGATTTTTGCGGGTAACGTATTTACACGTGTACGCATATGTGTACGTAGGTTTGTGTATGCATTATTAGTTCGGTAATGTCATACGCACATATGTATGTACATATGTATAAAGCAGTGCGCGCACATGTTGTTAGTAATAATTGGCGTTACACAAACGACATGCAAACGCAGACGAAAAATTTTGAGACGATGTAATAAAAGTTTCATTTTAATAATTATTATGGTAAGTTATTTTGAGCAAGAATCGTCCTCCTTTACACGGGTTTCTCTTGTCTATAGAGTTGTACGCACAGAATATTTGGAAATATAAATATAACTCGCAAACAAATAATCCGTTCATCATGTTACTCGAAAGTAAAACCTTGACTCATTTATGAAATTGTGTATCTGTATTTTTCAGGTGGTTTAACTGATGCTTTCGATACCTTGCTCTTATATAGTATTGAGGTTTTATAATAATAATAATAAATATAATAAATAACCTTGATTCAAATATTAAATTTAGAATTTTTATTGTTAGGGTGGTTTACCTTAAATTCTGGATGCGGTGTTCGCATATACTATAAAGCTTCTCCGGACATACGTCCAACATATGGGAGTAAACAATGTCAATTAAATCGGCCGGTACCTTGAATATTTCTTCATAGTGATCAATCATAATTCTAAAAGCATATTTTAATACTTTCAGTTGCAGGTATTGCTAGGTAAGCTTTCTAAGTAAAAGCTTACCTTACTACATTTATAGCATCATTCATCGACTCCTGCTCAATGCTGTTTCCACATGGTACTACATCTGATGAACAGGTGTTTGATAAATTTGTACGCAGAATGTTAGGCGCAAAAACAGTTGCTAGATTGTTGCTATCCATTTTGTTACCGCAGACTTGTACATTACCCTCGTGGCCAATAACGTCGTCAGAGCAGGACGCAACTCTTGCTAAAAACTTAAATAGGACATAGAGGGTATCGCGATGAGCCACTGGAAGCAGTTTGACTAAATGTGATATTGCTTCTAACTGTAAGCGGCGGTTACGTATTCCTATATGTATAAAATAAGATTAATAACTAAAGCATAAGTGTTACGCATATTGTATATTACTTTGAGTTTCTAAAAATGCTTTATACAGACCGCTGCACAATAAAGGCTCTGGGAGATCCCTCAGGAATTCCTTTAGTAACGTTGCAACATCGTGCGGGCAAGTTTGCTCTCGAATATCAGTGACAGCATTCTTGTCAAAGTCCTCACGCATCTAAAAAGTTAGCAATATGCAATAGTATTTCTAAATTTCATAAATTTTGCTGAGCATATATTAGAACAAAATTGCTCCAAATCTAGTTGATAAAAATTCCGTATTTGATATTACTTTTCCTGAACTTTCAGAAGAAAATACTTCTTTAATTTAGCTATGGTGATATAATACAAGTATAAGATAACACGATTTTGTGTCTGAATTTGCAATGGAATGTCTCCCTGAGTGAATGATAAAGAAAAAATTGTTTATTGTGCAGAAACTAAGAATGTTTCCTGATTTGCAATGCAACTTACTGATATAAATAATATAAATGGCGTATTTATTCAAATATTTTTGCAGGCATTTAAGTTTTGAATGCATTTAATGAACAAATAAAATTCATAAAGCTCAAATTTATTTAAAGCCCAAAATGGATAAGGTCGGTCCATAGGATAAAATTTGGCCCCATATATAACGTATCCATTAGACTGCTTTTTATACTCTCGCAACCTGTTGGTACGGAGTATAATAGTTTTGTTTACCTAACGGTTGTTTGTATCACCTAAAATTAATCGAGTTAGATATAGGGTTATATATATATAATGATCAGGATGAAGAGACGAGTTGAAATCCGGGTGACTGTCTGTCCGTCCGTCCGTCTGTCCGTGCAGCTCTAACTGAGTAAAATTGAGATATCTTTATGAAACTTGTGACATGTTTCATGGTACCGTGAGACGGTTGGTATTGCAGATGGGCGTAATCGGACCACTGCCACGCCCACAAAACACCATTAATCAAAAACAAATAACTTGCCATAACTAAGCTCCGCAATAAGATACAAGACTGTTATTTGGTACACAGGATCACATTAGGGGGGGCATCTGCAGTTAAAATTTTTAAAGTGGGCGTGGTCCCGCCTCTAATAGGTTTAATGTGCATATCTCCTAAACCGCTAATGCTATAATAACAAAATTCACTGGAAGCAAATGTTTTTAGCACTTCTATTGACGGTGTGAAAATAGTTGAAATCGGGTGGCAACTCCGCCCACTCCCCATACAACGGTACTGTTAAAAACTACTAAAAGCGCGATAAATCAAGCACTAAACACGCCAGAGACATTAAATTTTATCTCTGAGATGGTATAAGATGACTTGAAGATGACTTGAAGATGAAGAGATGGTATAAGATATGGAGAAGGCCGTAGCCAAGGTAGGGAGCAAGGCTCGAGGCGGTTATCAAATCGGATCTCCCGATGCAGCTGAACTATCTCCCCCGGCCGATATTAAAGAGACGTTGCGGTACTGCAACCCATCTCTTCCCACCCAAGACTGGTAGGTGATTAGCCTGGAGAGGACCGAGGAGCCTGATACTCGTAAACAAGGAGTGCCTCGCTCCACTCAGTGTCACAAAGGGGGCCATAAGTTATGGCTACGAGAGGGTCATTCTCAGAATGCTCCAAACAGAGGCCAGGGCGGATGGCCCGCTGCCTTCCGCTTGAGTGGAAGAGAGCGGGAAAGATACCCACACGAAAATGGATATCGACCCTTATCCTCTCGGCCGCGGTGAGCACGAGGATTAATCCGTCTTCAGTCTCGATCGCCTGTTCGAGGAGGCTGGGGTCGATGACATGGATGATGGTGCGGAACTTGCAATGTTGGACAGGAGTTTGGAGGATGAAGATCCTCCAAATTAACCTCCAGCACTCAAAGGCGGCCTCCGCCGATATTTTGCTTCGTCTAAGGACAAAAAGCCATAAGCTCCTGGCGGCAAGCAGCACAGGTAGCACCAGAGCCTGTCTGTTGGTCAGAAATGAACTTTACGTTTTTCTTTTACCTAATTTCAGCAACGAGGACGTCGTCACTGCTAGGCTAGAGGACAGTGCTAGAAAAATCTGGCTTGTCTCAGCCTATATGCCGCATGACGACGAGGTGGAACCACCTCCGGGTCTGCTGAGGATGGCTATGGCAGAGGCCAGGCGCAAAGGAGCCGCGGTCCTAATAGGCTCGGATGCCAATTCACGGCACACCGTCTGGGGAGCTCAGACACAAACGCAAGAGGTGCGTCACTTTTTGATTTTATTTGTGATATAGATCTTTTTAGCTGTAATAGGGGAAACTGTCCTACTTTTGCGACACTAGCAGGGCGGAAGTCCTTGACGTCACGCTAGCCTCTAGGGAAATTGCTCCCTTGATCTCGAAATGGAGAGTTCTAGACGACCATTCCTTTTCTGATCATAAATACATTGGGTTCAGCTTGGACGCCCCGCGCCCGACGCATAGAACCTAGAGAAACTTCAGGAATACCAATTTGGTCCTGTATTGCAGGAAGCTTCGATCAGTTCTTCCAACCGCGCCTGACAGGGATTCGATCGAGGTTTTCAGCTCTGTTAGTAGAACTACTCTTGAAAGTTCCTGTCCTCTGAAAACTCAGAATACTAAAGGGAAACCCCCTTGGTGGACTTTTGAGTTAACGGAGATTAGATCTTCGAGTAGAAGACTCTTCAATAAAGCCCGTAAAAGTGGCTCTAGGGAGGGCTTCGTGGAGAGCCTTCTGCGGCAGTGTAGAGGGTTGTCACGAGTCCTCAAAGTTTAGACGCATTCTTGCAAAAAATCCTACTCCAGTGGGGTATCTAAGAAATGTAGATAACGGGTGGACTACGAGTAGTGAGGAGTCGCTAAAGCTACTCTTAGATGCTCATTTTCCACTGAATCGCTCTACTGAACAAGTGCCACTGGGGGAGCTTCAGGAAGGCTGTACAGCCTTCTTGGATCTTCTGGATGAGCGTCACTTTACCTGTGCGTTGAAATCATTCAAGCCCTTCAAGTCCCCGGGTCCCGATGGCATCATACCGGCGCAACTACAGCATACGGTTAAGGTGTCATGTAGCTGGCTGGCCCCCATCTACGCGAACTGTGTTAGATTGGGCCATGTCCCGAAGGCCTGGAGACAGGTTAAGGTTACGTTTATTCCTAAGGCCGGTAAAAGCTCTCATGTCGGTGCTAAAGATTTCAAACATATCAGCCTATCCTCGTTTCTGTTGAAAATGCTGGAGAGACTTATGGATCTGTACATTAGGTGCAGAATACCGAGGGGCAAACTGCTACGGGTGCAGCATGCCTACATCAAGGGCAGGTCGGTCGACACTGCTTTGCATGATGTAGTGTCATGGCTGGAGATAGCGCTGTTGCACAAGGAATTTGCAGTGGGCACCTTTCTCGATATCGAGGGGGTCTTCAATAACGTGCGGCCAGAGGCAGTGGTTAAAGCCCTCGAAAAGTTTGAGGTGGAATCAAACCTCAAACACCTCATTTTCAGTCTTCTTTGCGACAAAACTGTCGTGGCGGAGTGGGGTAGTGCCAAGTCAACCAGAAAGGTTAATAGGGGAACTCCGCAGGGAGGAGTACTCTCCCCCCTGCTCTGGATCTTGGTGGTGAACGACCTTTTTAAAGAACTCGAGGAGCAAGGCTGTCGGGTGATAGCCTATGCTGATGATGTGGTTCTTATGGTTAAAGGTAAATTCCTGAATACCGTCTATGAGCTCACCGAAGGGTACCTAAACGTGATATCCAACTGGGCAAACAGAAGCGGCCTACCCGTCAACCCAAGTAAAACCGAAATGATTTTATTTACTAGGAGGTATAAGATCCCAAATGTGCCTCTCCCCTCTTTCGGGGGTTCACGTCTCCAATCTGTTGATAAGGTGAAATACCTAGGGCTCATCCTTGATAGAAAGCTCTCTTGGAGGCCGAACATCGAGGAGAGAGTCAATAAGGCATCGGTCGCCTTATATTGCTGCAGGGGAGCTATAGGGAAAAGGTGGGGACTCTCACCTAAGGTGGTGTTCTGGCTATACGAAACCGTAGTCAAGCCAATATTGTTCTATGGTGTGTTCGTATGGTGGAAAAGTCTTTTCGCTCGAAAAGACTACTCTGGCTAAAAATCTTGAGCTTGTCCAAAGAGCAGCGCTCATCGGAATCTCCGGTGCACTGCGAACCACACCAACGAAAGCTCTTAATACCATTTTAAACATAGCACCTGTGGACATTGCCGGCAGGTGCATTACTGCGAAGTGTGCTATAAGGCTCAAAGAAGCTGGGCTTATGAAGAGGTCCGAACAAGGACACGCCGCAATTCTCTCCTCCTTCAGCTGCATTCTTGAAAATTCGGATCCCTGCGGCCACTCGAGGCGGCTTTTTCTCTACTCATATCCCTACAAGAGGGATGTGGGTGGGACGAAGCCGCTTAAGAAGAGGCACGGTGAGCTTTTTCACGGATGGGTTGAAGTTAGGAGGGAATGTTGGAGGGGGGGGTTTCTGTAAAGAGCTCTCCGTCAACCTTAGCTTCAGGCTACCGGTACACTGTAGCCTTTTTCAGGCGGAAGTGGCAGCGATCAAGGTGGCGGTAGAAGTACTGCTACGAAGTGCAGCCTCGTTTAGAGAGGTGAGCATTCACTCCGACAGCAGAGCGACAATACTAGCCCTGAGTGCGCGAACCGTGCATTCAAAGCTAGTCAAGGACTAACGTCTTGCGTTCTTTCTTTGGACCTGCGCGACTGTGAGATGCTTCTGGCCGAGAGTGGATAGTCGGGGGATCTTCCCGCCTTGAAAAAAGTTCATCTTGCCGGTATGGTAGGAGTTCTCACTGGGCACTGTCCAATGGGAACTCATGCGGTGTGGCTTAGAATACTACCCGATGCTAGTTGTCAAAGCTGTATGGAGAAGGGTGAGGTGGAAACATCCCCGTACTTTCTCCTCCACTGTCCGGCTTTTGCTAGACTGAAACATCTCGGCAATCATACTTTCAGCGGACCAGAAGATTTGGCCAAAATAGATATTGGCTGTCTCAACAAGTTTGTCATAGGCACAAAGCGCTTTGTCGACATGTAAGGGTCTATTGATCCAGCTCATAGGAGTTTTGGGTACCACAACGGACCGGCGTTTAAGCTGTCCAAGTGTGATCCTTCTTAGGATCGACCCTATAACCTAACCTAACCCCAGTAAGAAAACGATTCGTCGAAATGACGTAGTCATTTTAGTTTACGCTCTCAGACTTTCATTTGTATTCGGGGCAACTTGAAACGCGCGGTTTGCTAAACCGGTCTTTATGTTTTTATAAGTACCTCATGAGACTAAAAATTAATGAAATAAATGACCTCAGTCAAAAAGCGAATAATTTTAAAATCTTTGTCATTCTTATATTATTTTAAAAGAAGATGGGTCATTTCGACATATATTTACCTTTCCAGTGGTATAAAATAGCATTATCTTTGTGGGGTTAATAGGAGAAATATTTTTTTCAGTTGACTATGAATCCCAACTTTAAATATTTTCTTCTTTTTTGCAACTTCGCCAGTTGCTTTTTTCCTTTGCGAGGAGACGCCAGTTATACATCCCAAGTGTAGACCTTGCACTTGGTCCTTCCATTGGATTGAGCGTCCTTGCTTCCGTTGTTCACCCATGAGTTTTGAATCAAAGGAGCTTTTCGAGCATTATCTTCCATGCGAACAACATGACCTAACCAGCGCATTCGTTGGATTTTTATGCGCTTAAATAAATCTATGTCGCCGTAAAGCTTACACAGTTGGTGGCTCCATCTTTTCCGATATTCATCGCTCACGCGGACGGCTTCGAAGACCTTGCGGAGAACTGTTTTCTCGAATGCCCAAGCTGTCTTCTCGTCTCGGTTCCTCATCGTCTATATTTTTGCGCTATATAATAGGACGAGAATGATGAGAGACTTATAGAGCGTAATTTTTGTTCGTCGAAAGAGAGAGATCTGCTTCTTAATAGCCTACCGATCCCAAAGTAGCATCTGCTGGCAAGCGTTTTCTACGCTTGATATTCGGACTTAAATTGTTGTGGAATTTATGCAGTTTCCGAGATATGCAAATTCCTTCAAATTTATAGCTGCCAGCAATGACGTAGTTCCCAAGATGCGAGAAAACTTTGTGTGTGGTCTCCGGGTATTTTGTCTAGCCCTCGATCACCACAAGACCAACATATTTCGATTCTTTATGTTGTTAAGGCCTACAGTCTCAAGATCATCTGAGCAACCCAGTATTATTATACTTATCGCGTAAACAGGGTCACTGCGGTTCAGATTAGCGGTGCGTATCACTTTTTCCAGCGTTATATTGAAGAAGATGCGCGAGAGAGTGTCACTCTGGCTAAAACCTCGTCTGATATCGAATGGCTCGGAGAGATTCTTTCAAATTTATAGCTGATGGTTGTGCTCAACGTCAATTTTTTTGTTATTAAGTATAAAAAAAAAATGGCTCAGGGATTTATCCTTCTATTTTAAATTGCAGAATTTGAGTTTCGTTGGAGCACAGCATTTGGGTCCTTAACTTTTAAATATAATAATTACATTAAATTAACCTATTAACAAATCCATTAATTTAAGGCAGTAAACAATATGTTCTCTTTCATTAAAATGCGTGTTTAGATCCAGCGAGATATTATTACAATACCATATTTATTTTCGATTTTGTTCGTATATCTTAAGATTGATTAACCTGAATTAATATTTTTATATGTGAATATTTATTACCTGTTTAACTCGCTTCTTCGATGTGCTCACACGAAACAGTCCAACCATGTGTAATCCGTGCTCTTCCAAATATTTTATGCAAGATATTATGAAAGTAGGTACTTGCAAAGCATTTTGATTGGCTATTTCACTCTGCTCTTTAAAATAAGACGGATCCTGCAGGTCTAACTCTTGACTGTGACGCCTTACATCAGATTGACTGCGTGAAATCTGCTTCTGCATTGATGTAGAATTTGACAAGCTATCAAAATAACCGCTGCTCGATTTAACACTGTTCGGTCGGCTACTGTTAGAGTTATTATCCCTACTAAGCGATGTTACCAAAGAAAATGTACTCGAGGGCAAGCTTTCATAAGATCGCACCTATATAAATAAGTTCAGTACTTATACCTTTAAGTGTAAATCTTACTATTTCCATTGAGGAATATTTTTCTTGCTTACATTTTCATGCAGCTTATTTGCGGCCTCATTCGCACTACCACCACGAAATAGTGCTGTTATTGAGTTGCGCGAACCACGATCGGACGATGTCTTCAAGTTGCTTCTCTGTTTCTTATCATTGATTACACAACATTCCAAGGAGTTGCCAAATAAACCGTGTCCAACATGTTCTTGCAAAGATAAAATAAAAAAATCGTAACAAATATTGATAAAAAACTTAAAGTACAGTCCTACTTTGGTCCTCTTTTTTACTAATATCAAAGAAACTAGTAGTCATCGCTTTCTTCTTGGCCAGAACCCTTCGCTTCTGTGGCTTACTATCATGATCTAAATGTAATTGAAAATATTAAAATGTTTAATTTTTAGCTCTTTTGATCTATCGTATTTGCATGAGGACTATATTATGTAAAATTATTTTACAATGGCCAGACCTAATAAGTAAAGCATAACATTTAAATAAATTATTAATGGAGCGTGAAATGAAATAAATTGACTGAAATCCTATAAATTTTCATGTCCGAGAAAAAATATCTACATAACAGTAAATGTCATGTTCGTCAAATGCAAATTTTTTCAAGTACAAAATGAGCGAACTAAATATTTGTTTTAGGAATCCTTCCGGTGTTTACTAGCACAAACTGGAGATTATTGCATTTATAAATGAAAAAACTATAGATGTAATGTTATTATCAATTTTCTTATACCTGATTTTAGCTCTGAGCTACAAATCACCCAGATTGAAAGGCGCGTGGTGGAACAGCAGTGTTGGTTAGAAATTGATTAAACCACCATGCTTTAGAATCTCATGCTACAGCCCAGTTACAAGCTACAACGAAACGTTTAAAAAATCGCAGTAGTGACTTAAATATGACGGCTACATACTGCCCACCTGGTTTTAAATCTACAGATTGCCCATTTAAAGACTTTTTTGGCTCACTAGGAAATACATATATTTCTAGCAGGTGGGGATTACAATGCAAAGCATATGTATTGCTTATGTCAAATTAATCCAAAAGGACGACAACTGTATTACACTATTATAAATAGACCCAATAATCTTGACATAATATCTCCTGGTAAGCCGACAAACTGGCCCAGTGATCAAAACAAAATACGAGATTTAATTGATTTTGCTGTCAGTAAAAATATAGATAGATCGCTTATAACTGTTGATACATGTACTAACTTATCTTCTGATTATTCTCCTGTGTTAATAAAACTATGCAAACAACCCTTGGTTGTATCACCAAAAAAAAAAAAACTGGTTAAAATATAAAAAATATATAAGTAGCCATCTTAATATTGATTTCAGAATAAACTTAGAAAGAGATATTGACCAAAGCATAAGCGAACTTGATGAAATAATAGCTAAAACAGTTTTTTTAGAAACACCAAACCAAACTAACTGGTCTCAAAAAATCACAATTGAAATAGAAAAGCTTGTAACTGAAAAAAGGCGAGCTAGACGTGAATGGCAAGCAAACAGCTCTCCTTTTTCTTAGCTGCTATTGAAGGATTCATTACTGAAACTTTGAAAAGCGCTGAAGAATACAGCACTGAAAATTATATAAAGAAATTGACCCCAAATTCAACCAACAAGCAAAACTCCCTTTGGGAAGTCCAAAAACACATTAAGCGGCCGGTAGATTACAACATGCCCATAAGAGACGTGAGTGGTAATTGGGCTCGAAGTGATGAAGAAAAAGTAATTTGCTTTGCAAACTACGTAGAGAAGGTATTTCAGCGTAATTGTCCACAAAGCTACTTTAATCTGCCTACTTTGCCCGACACTGCTAGCACGTCGCTCGTGTCTATTGAGACTTCAACTTTTTAAATTAAAAATATAATAAAAGAGATAAATCCAAAAAAGTCATTAGGACACGATAAAATTACTCCCAAAATAGTAGTAGTAATGCTCTCCTTGCTTTTTAATTCAATTTTCAGTTTCGGATACTATCCAAATTCATTTAAAAAAGTCGCAGATTATCATGATAGATAAACCAGGGAAAGACTTAACACAGGCTTCTTCCTACATACCAATAAGCCTCCTACCCTGCCCTTCCAAAATAATTGAAAAAGTGTTGCTATCAAATATGTCTCCTTTTCGCCATGAAATAATACAATTCCAACGCACAAATTCAGGTTTCGTGCAAAACATGGCCCAGTAGAGCATGTAAATAGAATTACTTACGAAATTAGAAGGACATTAGAGTACAAAGAGTATTGTTCAGCATTATTCCTTGAAGCAGCTCAGGCATTTGATAAGGTGTGTCATGTAGGCCTTTTGTATAAAATTAAAAAATTATTCTTATTTCAAAAAATAGAAGATTTACTGTTAAAGTGGCTAATTTCATATCAGATGAACGACCGATAAGGGCTGCTGTACCTCAACGGAGTGTGCTAGGTCCAACTCTTATATACAGCAGACATTCCAAATGGTTATTACGTAATGACATCGACTTTTGCTAATGACACAGCTCTAGTATGCCGTAATAAATGTCCCACTAGTGCGTCAAGGATACTCTAGCAGCATTTAGCTTTGGTTGAAAAATGGGTAGCCAACTAGCGAATAAATCTAAATGAACAAAAGTGGAAGCATGTTACATTTTCATTAAGACCAAAGATCTGTCAGCCATATAAAATATATAACATCTTAGTATTACAAGCAAATGATGTAATTTATCTTGGCATTCAGTTGGACAGAACGCTCACAATTAGAAAACATATGTATATCTAGTAAAATAACTAGCTTGAAAATAAGAGCAGCAACTTTAAAATGGCTTTTAAATAAATTCTAAACTAAGACTTGACAATAAAGTTTTGTTATACAACGCGGTAATAAAGCTGATTTGGATATATTGATATAATACAGGGGTTTCAGTCAAAAATCCTTAGAGATATAACGAGTTTACCATGGTATATTCGAAATGAAAACATTCACAAAGACCTTGGTATTCCTATGGTAAAAAAATAAGTAGAGGACAGCAGAAATAATTTTGTAATCAAACCCGCTTAAAAAGGAAAGATCTACCAGCCTTCTAAAGAGCAACGTATCACCAAACACTCTCAACTAGAACCTTGAGCTTGCTTAGTTTTAATTAGATTTAAGATTTTCTTACTTATTGTTAGGCTTTGAGCAAGCAGATTCAATAAATAAGATATATTAACAAACAAAAAAACAGTATATGTTATTAGTCCATCATGTCAGTTGGCAAAGACATACATTGTTAATATTTTTATTTTTTAAATATATTAATTTTAGGTTTAGCGATATTAGATTAGTGAACAGTACTTTTGTGCCTACTTAATAAGACATTAACTCCAATATTAAGTTCGCTTATCTTTTCAATCGCAACTCGTTGTAAAATTTCCGCTTCAATGTCCGTCAGATTTTGCAAGCATGAATCTTGGATTATAATACGATCACCGTTCTCTGAAGTCCAACTGTATTTTTCCTAAAAAAGAAAATATCAAGAATTAATTTAATATCAGCAATCAAACTTGGTTTAATTGTTCATTTGTTTCCTAGTAAGGATTAACACCGCCAAAATAGGTAGACAGTTACGTTGAACTCGGTTGGGTGTCAAAACCCTTCCAAAATCAGAAGAATTTACGAAGTAACATCAATATAAAACATATGTTGGAAGGAAAAATAAAAAAAGAAATGATGGATCAACCACTGAATATCTGATTTCAGAAAGTTATAAGACTAAAGTTTGGCAAACTTACAAAGATATCTTGAAGCAATACAAAAAAGCAGTCAGTAAAAGCAGATTCATGGCAATCTTACTGCACATCGATAGAAAGCTGCACAGAATCCGCCAGACTGAGTAACATATTGTCCAAGGAACATATCAATACATCCTTTTTAAAGACGAAGGGCGGTGCTTGACATCCTCCGCTGGAGAATCCCTGGAGGAATTCATGAAAACGCACTTCTCTGGTAAGAACTACTACGTGCAAATACAGCAGACCAATCCTCATAGTAAGTAAGAAGGGGATTATATACGCCATAAAAAGCTTCTTGCCATTTAAAGCAGCGGGCCAGGATGGGTTTATTCCCATAATGGTGCAGAAGCTAAAGGAACCAATGGTTCTAAGGCTTGAAAAGATGTATAAGGGCAACATCCAATTATTTTACATAACGAGAAGCTGGCAAATAGTAAAAGGGGTGTACGTACCAAAAAACTCGTTAACGCAAAGTACTTTAGACATATAAGCCTCACATCCTTCTTGCTGAAGCTTCTAGAAAGGCTAATGGATACACACTTACGAGAAATAATAGGAGATACCTTATTGAATGCACAACATGCATACATAAAGGGTAAATCAACCGAAACTGCCCTACACAAAGTGTTTAATGTAATTTAAAAGTCACTACAAGGACTGCCTCTCTGTCTATGTCCTTCAACAATATAGTAATAAGAACGATTATTGATTCTCTGTCACATGGCGGTATAGACGACATGGTTTGCAGATTGCAAGCAGTGAGATTGTGGAAAGAGCTCTATGAAGGTTGCACCTATAGGTCGCGAACAACTGACTAGGTGCTAACTCAATTAAAACGAAACTGATGCTTTTCACGAGTAAAACAAAAATACCTCGAATAAAACTACTCTGACTGAGTGGTACAACAACTTCTCTGTCCACCACGGCAAAATGCGTAGGGGTTGAAATAGAGACCTAACTGGTCTAAATATAGTCATGTGGATGTATACGGCCATTACATATACGTCATTAGAACACTAGTTTGATGGCCAGCATTAAATAAACAATATAATATTAGGAAATGAAATGGGGCTATCAAGTCATGTCCGACCGATGCTTTATATGCTCCTTTATCAACTGCCCATAGATGTGTTTACTCGGAAAGTGACTACAAGTCCCGCTACCAGAATAAAGGAATTAGGAGGTTGAAACCCAAAAGATGATTGACATAGCGCCGTCCTAAACCAGCTAAAGATAAGTAAATCGGACTATATCCAAGGTTAGATTTCAATAGTCACTTTCGAGTGAGGTTACCGTCTCGATGTGAATGGAGAAGAGGTTTAGTAGAGGAGGAGGATACTATCTCTAACTATACCGGTAGGTTCAAAATGGGCTGCGGAGTAGGGGCGGGGATATACTCCATTAATATTTTCATCTATCTTTCTATCCGCCTACCAAACTCAGCCAGCATCTTCCAAGCGGAAGTACTAGGTATAGAGAGGGCTTATGTAATTCTATTGAAAAACTACGGGAGGATACAGAAAGCAACCATATACACGGATAACGGCATTGCTTGCCTTGTCAACGCAACAGATCAATTCCAGCGAAGTCAACAACTTCAGGGAGGCTTTAAGCTCACTGGTAAGTCAACTCCACTTGTCCATAATTAGAGTGTGACTGGGAATCACAGGAAAATTTTCGGCAGTAAAAAGGCAGACAAATGGCAAATCTAGGCGCCTTTTTAGATGATTCTGAGGCGGAGTCAATACCGTACCATCTAGGAATGATCAAAAGAGAGCTTTATATGCATTTGAACAAATATCTCAAAACAGATGGAATTCAATAGCGAGCTGCAAGATAACAAAGCAGATATGTCCCAAATATGGTGGGAAAAGAACCCAGGACCTACTAATTAGGTGCAGAAATAGCATAGAAAAACTTACAGCTAAGTACTATAACGGGGCAATGGCTTTTTGAAGGGCATGTACTACAAAAGCGCTTGCTTTGTAACAATATTTGCTGCAGCTGCAACCTAGAATGGAATACGAAAACGGTTTTCAACTATCTCTGTGAATGCCCAGTTCACAAACCCGACACAAAATACTTAGAACCCATCAGGCACCAAATGTACATAATATTATACAATATAACTAAAATTTAAATTCCATCTGATTCTTTCTTTTTACAATATATACAGTACGTTAATTAAGCCAAATGAATTTAAAGAAATACAACTTTGCATAAAGAGTGTTTTTCAGGGAGTGACACCCTCATCAAATGGTCCATAACTTTTCAAGCACCCAGACACTATATATCTATCTCCATTAGTTTTAGGTGATTCCAACAACAGTTAGGTGAACAAAACTTTGTGAAACATATTGCGGTATTATAAATACGAATATTCTTTCAGAGAAGGGTTCGAAATAAGGTTTTTTTTTCTTGCCTCATGCATCTCATTTGCTAGAAGTGACAACTTGAAAATATTTATTTTTTATAAAATTATCAAAACACTTAATTTTTTCTGCCTATAATACTAATGTAAATCGGAACTTTAAAGTTCTACATTTTATGCGATAAGTAAAACAGGAGAACAGGAAAGTTCAACTTTGACATGGTAAATTCGAAAATGTTATTATTTGATTTGCTCGTTGTTGAGCAGCATTTTGGAAAAATTAAAAACGGTAAATTAAAAATAGGCGCTAAATTAGTATACTCGTACTTCAAAAAATTTCTGGAAATTGCAACTAAAATTTGAATGAAGATTCATCGCTCAACTTACCGCTGGCGCCCATTTTGAAACTGGTGCTTTAGTGTTCGGTCGTGACTGACTTTTCGAACGGCTTTTAAGTATTTTACGCGTGACAAACTGTCCGACATTGGAAGATGATTTTGACTTTTGCATTGCTGTGCTCAAACTTGCATCCTTCACAGCAGCTGTTAATTAAAAAATTAAAAAAATCTTACTGTTATACACATATATAATATATACAAGAACAAATAATTTAATTGGGTAGCCAGATTCCTAGTTTATTTTGTTGGGAATACAAAATAAATTAGTTATGATATATTATTAACTCTAATGAGGTATTAACATTGTCAAAACCTCAACAGTAGTACTTTTTCCGAGCAAAAAGTCTCAGACTATATTCAACAAAAGCAGTAGTACGCGAAAGCGTTTCTTCACTGCATGTATTTCGAATGCGGAATATGCGCTTAATTTTCAAGTGTCTCATGTAACAGGTATCCACATTTTCACAACATGTTGCACAGAGTGTTCTCCTAATGGTGATTACGATGCCTAAAACTAATCGAGATAGATATTAAATTGATTATTGAATTGATTGAAGATGCGCGAAATCTTGTCATTGGACGAACACTAAATGTCGATAATCAAAAATATATAGAGCTGAGTAAAAACATGTCAAGTGGACCCCCCATTTTTCACTTGATCATCGAATTTGAATGTGAGTATTTTTTCATAAAGTAGTCATCATGATTGTGTTGAGTTCAGATTTAAATGTGCCGTTATTATTACCTGAAGGGTAATAGGCTGAAATTATATACATGATGTTATTCGGAGGCATATGAATTTTTATTACACAAGATTCTAAATAGGATAAGGCATTGATGTGTTGGTTGAAAACTTCCGTGTATTTTATATTTTCACTAATTAGAATTGCGGTTCCTCCTCCTCTCGATCCTAACAATCTATCTTTTCTTATTAAATTATACCCTATAAATTTTAGTTTGTGTCTTGTGTTAAGTTTAGTTTCGTTCAACAGAACAATATCGGGCTTATTATTTGATAAGAATTTACTTAGCTCTATTATCCTGCTTATATTAATAAGAGAGTTGACATTAAGTGAAATTATATTTAACTGGGATTGGGTAATAGTTATAGTATGGTCTGAATTCATGCTGTATCTATTATATTGTAAATTGCATCAACTCTTGCTGTTTGTATTTCCAGCTGCTTCTGAAGAACTGTTAATAGTTTACATAAAGATAACATTGTATTTTTTAGTTCTTCGAATATTTGATTTTGAGAGTTTTGATTATTGGTATCATAAAATACACCAGTTGACTGTTTACAGACATTTGCATAACTTAAATTAGAGTTAGTAAAATTTTGGTTAGTGTTTATTTTCGTGGCTATTAGGTTTTGTTTTTTCAATCTTATTTTTTGTTGAAGCTCTTTATACCGCTCACAGCCTTTGTAGGAAGCTGTATGCCCAAATTTCTTGCATAAAACACAATACACCTTATCATTTACAGTTGAGTTTGCGTCTAAAGAGTTACAATCTTTGCTTTTATGTGTTCCGCTACATTTGACACATCTTGGTGGTAGATTACAATTAGCTGCGCTGTGAAAGACACTTTGACAGTTTCTACATTGCGAAATCTCAGCTTTCCGTAGGGGTTCCCATTTAATACAGTGGTATAAAACAGCTTTAATTGCTTTTAATTCGTTAACGTTACTTTCGGCACTTGTTTGAATCATAAACATGGGTATTTTTATATTGAGTTGCGTGGAAATTTTTGTGGTAAATTGATTAACTTTAAGAATTTTTAGGTTATCGTTTTGATATGTGCAAAGTTCATTAAAAATTTCTTCAGGGTCGGTATTGCCGTTTAGCCCTTTCAATAGGTATGTTTTGATTTTTAAACATTTAGGCGTGTAAGAATAGAATTTACTTTGGTGTTTTCTAAGTTCCCTCGGACTTTTTTGTAGTCTTCAATGTTGGTTAAAAAAATTGCTAATTTATTTTGATTATTTTCTTTGATTTTAAATTGTGTTATGTTTAGACCGTCTTTTATTAGTTCTATTATTCGTTTTGATTCGATGTCGAATGTGTTTATTGGAGGAATGTTTTTGTTGTTTATTTTTCGTTTGACGTTTGGGATCGAATTAACTTCACTAGTGTTGTTTCTATGCGAGACGCCAGCTGGAGTTTTTGCTGCCGCTGCACGTGTTGCTGGGTTGTTTTTTGTTGTATTACTAGTTTCATTTTGTTCATATTTGTTGCTTAGATTATTGGAACGAACGTGTTGTTCGAATTTTTGTAGTGTTTCATTGAACTCTCTTAGATCGTCATCTAATATAGCGTAATAATTGTTTTTGGTATTTTTCGACATTGTGTGTTCAAACACGTTGTCGTTTTTTCTTTTTCTATTTAAGATTATCTTTGCGACATTGTTTGCAGAACTAAGCGCATTGCGCTCACTCATTATAAAAAGGAACACCTTTACACTGATTATGGATCACGATTGGCACTTCAGGAAATTAAATGATTTTTATGATCTTTATAATGGGTATCGATTTGTTATCACTTTACACTCCGTGATACGTGCTTACGCTCTCGCTGTCACAATCAGACTCCCTAGTTCCAATTTGTTTATAATGCTATCACTTTCTGGACACTTAGTACACTTTGAAAAGTAACACAATGATGCAGACTCTTGGCAAACAGAGCTTTTAATTAAATCATTTGAGCTTTCTGAAATAATTTTCCCCTCTTTTTTTTAATTCATTTTTAAATCCAGCTAATTTCAATTTGAAATTTTGAAAAATTTTACACACACACACATTATGAGTTCCACTTTTGCCAGCAGATATACATTCCCGAGGTCGGAGTTTTTGAAATTTGGATAGTCCAATCTTTTCGTCAGGATAAGCATCTTTAAATTGCTTGTGTATTTCGTAAACATTATATAATAATAACCGTTTTTGTTTTTGGATTTAATCACCGAAACATAATCTTTCATACCAGGCATTACGCGGCTGACATCATCGGATAGATAAAAAGCTTCAATACGATCGAAGGTTTCAATGTTTAGAGATTTTCCTCTCTTAATCATAGGTTGCGATGCGAATACTCGTTCTTGTCGTATTTTTTTTGCAGTTGTCACCATTCGTTTGGAAACTTTAAACTCTTTCCTTATCATTTTAATCGAATAATCTGTAGGAAGCGTAGTCAAAACCTGAATTTTATTAAGTAAAAGCTCTTTTGGATCAATTTCACTATTTACATTGTTAATATTATCCGTAAATTTACTCACAACATTTGTTAAAACGTTTTGACATTCTTTATCACTTGAGACTCTATTGGTTTTGATTGGAGGTTCACTAATTTTCGTTAAAAATTTATTAACCTTATCAATGTTTAATTTGTTATCTACCGGTTTGAAATGAAAAGTAGGATCTTTTTCTTCGTCATCTTCGATAACATCATTTGACTTCTCAGGCTTGTTGACTTCAGGACATTTATTCACCGATAATTCACCAAGAATTTCAGGTTTTCGGCCTGAATAAATAGTCCGTTCACATGAATTGCACATATAATTCCCAATAAAATCTTTAAAATCATGAGCGCGGCTATTTGTTATTAAAACTAAGTTTTTAATGAATTTTTTATGATTCTTTTTATTAAATGGATTGCAGCATTTCTTAACGAGGCTCATGATTAATTATCAACGAAATTACGAATGGCTCGAGATATTCCTTTGTTGTTCACATACTTGTAGATACTGGGACATAAAATATTAAGATGCTTTCATATTTATTTCTTTTAACCGCAAAGGATTTAGTTCGAATATCGTTTTATTTAAAACAAGAATTGTAATGTTAATTGGATGTTTTATACTGAATAGAAAAAAATATGGGGTAGAAAAATTATGGATTTTTAATACTTAAAGAATAGGAAATTCTAGTTAAAAATTTGTCCTTGAAATATTAATAGCGGGTATTCAATACATTCTGGGGGATTAGGGAATTTTCGTCTTAAGTATTTCTTTGAAACTATTAAGCGGGTAAGTATTATGCATATTGTTCTACCACATTCATGCTAATTCACTGCAAGCAAAATGTGAGACCATCATCCCAACATACAAATGAAATATGTAACACACTCTAAGTTTCGCGTTGCCGAACCGCACAAACATAAACCGCTATACCGACAGCGCTGACCGCGCGTCGTAAAATTTTTTTTTGCTTAATCTAATCGCGATCAATCAAATTTTTTTGCGGGTTTCGTTACTTTAATGTTTATTGCAAAACACTAAAAAAAATTTTTAATTTTGTGAGGGAGAAGTCATTAAAATTTTAATTAACAATTTGAAAAAAAAAATTATTTAAATTCATACATATTTTCTCAAAGTACAAGCTTTGAACTATAACTCCTGAAAATTTTCAGTATAAAATCACCAATCGTTTTCTAATTATTAATTTTTTAACTAAAAGTAGTAAAAATTTTCAATTAAAAAAAATTGTTGTTAAAATTAAAATTAAAAAAAAATAAGCAGGGGACTTGCTCATGATGACTACTTTATGAAAAAATACTCACATTCAAATTCGATGATCAAGTGGAAAATGGGGGGTCCACTTGACGTGTTTTTACTCGCTTCTACATTTTACATCTCTGAAAGCATACTAATAAATCTCACACGCTATTGGTCGAATTGTGATAAATATAATATATATAAATGACGTCATGTAATTTATCAAGTTTCTAATGACAATTTTCATCAAAATGGTCTAATTGTTACAGCTAATTTCAAAAAGTTTACATTTAAGACGTGGGACAAGGTCTGTCGGGTCCGCTAATCTTTTTATAATTTTTTGGTACAACTATGCTATGCCTGCGATTTCGCCCCCGTGGATTTCAACAAATATATTACTGTTCAGTTCGCAGAGCTTACAATAATTTATTAATTTATTTTAATATGGCAAACATACACTTCAATTTCATTTATCTATATATATTGATGTGAAAATGGGGGAAATCGGATAACAACCTCTCATTAGACAAATCACACACCAACGAAGATATTGGAATAAAACTTAATATAGAGACGCAGTTAAAAATATTCAAAATCGAACTTTAATTTTCCAAGCAACATGACCATACTATGACCAACTTTATACGGAAAGTAGT